TGTGTGTGTGTGTGTGTGTGTGTGTGTGTGTGTGTGTGTGTGTGTGTGTGAGAGAGATTCTGTCCTACTGCTGTCCTTTATCAAAAGTCTTTCAGCATCATTCCTCTCAGCGTGACGTCCACCTCATGTGTAGGTGTGCTGGGCATGTATAGGGTTACCAAATATGCAGCATTTCCTGTAGGTCACATATAGGATAGGCATAACACGCACGCACACATGCGCACACATACACACACCAAACTTTTCTAACTAAATCACACCCCTGCAAAATCTCATTGGACAGTTTAACATCTGTCTGTATGGATGCACACACTTGGTCTCCCTTTTACACACAATTACAGTCCATACATCCACACCAGAACATAATACAACACGCGCACACACAACATTCAAAGTGAGGCTGTAATGGCTCTGTCTAATTACAGCCTTTGGTTTTCCTGGATTCAGCCTGGTGACTTTCAAAGGAGAGATTGCTCCCTCTCCCTCTCCTGCTCTGTAATGAATGGTTCTTTTATTCAACTTGGCAGCCATCTTGTCTCGTTGCGTCTTTTCATGTCGAAACTTCAGGAAGACCGAATTCAGCAGCTGAACTTCTGAAAGCCAAGGTGCAGATAAAATGTTTAGTGTCAGGCAGTTCCAGCAGCTGGTCAGCCGGTGAAGCTGCTGTATGTGTAAATGAATCATGCAAATCAGTACAAGACAAGACAGGAAGTTAAAGAAAGTTTCTCAAGAAAAGGCTGAATTGCTGTTGTTGTGAGGTGCAGTGCTGATAACATTCAAGTCTCTCTCTCTCTCTCACACACACTCACACACACACACACACATTTGCACACTCATTTGGCATGCTTTGTAGTTAAATGCTATTTTTAGTGGTGTGCAATTATGCACATCAACAGCTCTCAGGAAGAGATGAGTTTATTAATATAGGTATGTCCTCCAGCCTGTGCGAGTCCTTTGTTATCTGTTGGTGTGTGTGGGTCAGTGACAGAGAGCTGGCGGGACTGTAATTGGAGTGGGAATAGAAGAAGGGCCCCCGAGGGTCCCATGAGGCCCCTGGGCGACAGACTGTCCTCTGAATGTGACACACACATGCAAGTACAGAGGGCTCCCAGATGACTGACAAATTAGAGTATAAATGTCCTGGATAGTGCGTCATAACTGATACCCTTGACTTGACTATCCTTCACTCTGCCTGCCTGCTCCTGTTCTCCTGATTTCATTGTTTTCCATCATTTAGTCAAAGAAACATCAATCAAAATCGGTCTCAACACAAGGTGCAAGAATTGTGAGTCTTGTGCTCTTATGAATAGATATATAACTTAATTTAATCAGGGGGAACCAACTGGGACCAAAGCTTGGATTGGCTGTACTTTACTGTCGTTACCTGATCAAAAAGAGAACAAAACCAGCAATTATTTACTCAAGGACAAAAAAACTGAAGGTGTGACCTGATGTAGTCTGTTCCACCTTTAAGGCGGATCAGTGGATTTTGTATTGAGTATAAGGTATTATCACAATATGTAACTGCAATGTGTAACTTTTTCAAATTACTATGTAAGTTACAGACACACCTTTCAGTTTCAAGTTACCCAGAACAAAGGTGGGAAATGAGTTCTCCCATGGGGGCACATAAGAAACTGGGACTGAACAAGAAGCTGAACTCAGTTATTTAAAAGCTTATTGGTGCGGCCCTCTACAACAGTTTCTTATGTGGCACATTAGAAAAGTTCATTTCCCAGTGTGACACCTAAAAGTGTGATTGATAGCAAGAAAAAGTGGAAAAAACTTGTGAGGAAGGAAAACTGATCATTTTTGTGTGGAGCAAACCACAACTAACTGGCAAACAAATAAAAACCAGAAAAAAACCCGCCAACTGAAGAAAAACGAAGAAAAGCATTGTGGAAGCTACTCATTTCAGGCCAAGGATGTAAACAGCCTTCTACCCAAGTGCATCACATGTGTGGAGCAGCTGACTAATCTTACTGGGGACACAGGCCAAAGAGGTGCTTGGAAACCCAACAACTCTTCTGAGAAAAGTGGGACAAACCTGGCATACAGCCTGAACCAGAGACACCATGACAGATTGAAAGTGCAACAAGGTAGTGCTAATGAAGCTTATAGCAAAGCAATATATTATGTTTTAATTTTAGCTTCCTCTTTAGTGCGCCATTGGCACAAAATATTCTAAAACTATTGAGGTTCTTTAATTCATAAATGGGATATCCAAGGGTTCTTGAAAATCCAAGTTTTAAAAGTGATGATGATTAGCATGGTATTAGTTTAAAAAATAATTTGGTAAAAAGGAAAAAAAATCGAATTCTAAGAGAGATATGACAGCATGCAGGGGCTTAATCGTGTTGGCAGCAAGAAACCTAATTATTTAAAGCTTCTTATGCAGCTCCTCAGCATGAGTTGTAATAGCAACTTGATCATCGAACAAGATATGCAGGTGCAAGATGGGAAGGCTTTTATTTGAGCCCCTTATTTGACTGAAAGGAAAATTTAGAGGGTTTTTTCATGTGGGATCTGGTAGAGAGTATGTTATGACTCTTCTCTAGCTTCAGAGAGAGCTTAATTTTAATGAAAGCCTTCTGGAAAAAAAGAAAAATCAGATTTTAATTTTGGCAAAGCATTGTCAGTAGAGGTTCCAGATGGTAATAGCTATTACTAGTATACTATTTACTTATCAGTGAAATACAGATATACAAGAGACTATCTAGTATGTCTGCTGCAATATGACCAAAATAACCATATGTGTCATATACAAATACATGCATTTGTTTATTACACATACACTATACAATATATTTTGAAGTAGCCTTATGCAATATGTAATTGAAATGCTGACTTATAAGTTTAGTTGAAATTTCCATGAACCTTTTAGGAATTTTGGCCATTTTTATACAAAATCTCTTATTTTCAGAGGCTCAAAAGTTATTGGACAGTTTACTGACAGGTAGTTTCACGACCAGGTGAGAACCGTTCATTTGATATTTCATCAAAGATGAAGCAGACATCTATCTAACTGACTTCTATTTGAAGTTGATTTCAGTAGTTCAATTTATAGATTGCCACTGTAATTTTAAATATCATCCCCCTAAGAAATGTCAACACAGTTGAGGGAGGCTGTCACTTGGCTACAAAAAAACTAAATAACCCAGTCAGAGAGAGAGAGAGAGCAAAAACTTTGGCAGTAGCCAAATCATCAATCTGGTAAATTGTTAAGAAAGAATGAATGCACTGGCCAGCAACACCAAAAGGCCTCAACAGTGTCTTTAGTAAGTAGGCATCATGCCAACAATGAGCTCTTGCAAGAGCCACACAAACCCATATATAAGAAATAAAAGAAAAGTTCTGTCTTTGGCCAGTTTTTGTGCATTTAGAATTTTTTTTTCATGGTCCAAGCATGCAGCATCATGTAAAATCTGTTTGTCACCATGAACACTGTTTTACAGACTCAAAATGCCTAAAATACATTTAATTAATCTAAAATTGCTTTAAAAGGTTTGACAGAGCATTTTTATTCAACATCTTCTGTAGCAGCAGTGTGTCAGCATCAGTGTGATTTGACCACATTGCATTTAAGTCATACTTGTAGTTATGTTTGTCATCAAATGTCAAAGTATTGGCTCTGTTACAGTGAAAGGCAAAACATAAGTACGTCCTGAAAAGACAACCTTTCGGGGGTAGATGTCTATATTTGACGTTCTGGCCTACTTTTTACACTTTACTGCTGATTCGGTTAATCATTCATTTTCACATAAAGCCTATTACATCAGTGGCGTGATAACTAAGGCGCATGATTTTTTTTTTTTAAAGGCAGCTGTTCAGATTTTTGTTGAGCAAGCACAAAGCTAATATTATACACTGATTAAATCTCAGTTGCGTATATTAACAAATGATGCTTTCTCCTAAAATAGTATAGCCCCGAAGCAGCTTTAGAACTTTTAAGACTCATTAAAGCTACTGTCAAAATTCACAAGGTTCATTAAGAATTTTCTAATTGGATTTTAATAAGGAAAGATTTCATGCAAGTGGTTTCCTTGATCACTTGTTCCACTTGAATTTGCAGCGGTTTAAACCAATAACCCAAACAGTCCCAGCTTGATTTTCAGGTCTTAAGTTTGCTGCCTTCCACTGCTTATCAAAGTCCCCTTTCAGTTTGAGGTCAGAGATCCTCATAAATCTTCATGGTCGTGAACTACCTCTGCGAGATGTACATCTACTAGATTACGTTAGATTAGATTAGATGAAACATTAATGACTCCTTCAGGGGGAAGCGAGTCATTGCTTCAGCAAAGAATTGGATAGAGCAATAGATAAGAGGACATAAATAGTAATAGAGCAAATAAAGGGTAGAGGGATATGTTCGGAAATGCTAATGTGTCTCCTCTAAAACAATCGGCTCTCAATTATATAGTCGTACTACGTCAAATTGAAAACTATCCATTTGCTTTATTCTCTGCACACTTTGGCTCAAAAACCTCAGAACCTGGCAGTAAGTGTTAGAGCAGGGTAGGGTTATAGCTAAACTAAATACACACACACACACAGTCAGACTTGACTTATCAGACCATGTTGATTAATTCTCTAATTAGTTATATACCATTAATTATGTACAAACTGTCTTAGGTCCAGCAGGATGTTGAATGTAGCTGAGTCACAGTTAGAGGAACTTGCTGTTCCCCCCTGTTTTTATGAGAAATGCAGTATAATTGATAATAATGAATGAAACTGAGCATCAGGAAGTTTTTATTGATGAAGATGGCATTGCATATCATCACCATTAGCATTTGTTGTGGTAGTGATGGTGTAGAATCAACCTTAACCAGACGATAGACAAAGGTATTCAAAGGAAACTACAGAGAAATGTCATGTATAGTAAGTATTAGTTTAAAAAGATTTAAGGAAAGTGCAAACTACTAGTAAACAACAACTAGCAAAGAGCTGACACAGGCCCTGAGAGATGCATCTGTATTTTGTTTTTGGTTTTTTGTTGTTGTTTTTTTTAACAAAAACCTCATCAGAAATGGTCTCAGTGCCATTTTTAAAAAGAAGGAGGAGAAAGGTACAACAGTGTCTACAGTCATCTGTAAAACCAATGAGACACTGTCATGGTTTGGGGCTATTTCTCCCAGTGGTGTCTGGGTTCTCATGAAAGCTGATGTAATTATGAAGGCAGAAAATACAAACTCATTTTTTCCTACAAACTATATTTCTAGTACAGCATTGGTGTACTACTAGGAAATAGTTGCAACTTGAAAGTATGATTTCTATATAAAAATATATTTTATTTGCTTGCAAATATTTATACAATATGGTATTACAAATGTGGACACGATAATGTAGCATTAATTCCCATGGAGCCATATTTACAGCCAGGAGTATCCTGTCCGTGTCTATTAGTTTATGCCCCCAAGTGCAACAACTAGCTCCAAGCCACCTGAAGGAGTGCCCATTGGCAGCTATTACTCTGCAGACATCAGTTCAGTTGCTATAATTGAGGTTTCCATCCTATACGGCTGGAGAATAAAGTGCCTGCAGCATCCTGCCACAGTCACCCGTGCTCAAGTGTTTTTGACCATGTTACTATGAGTAAACAGGCTGCTGGTTTAGATTACACTGTCAGCTACACACTCTCAACAGAACTGCTGAAAGTCTATTTGCAAATTACATCTTATTTTTCACAATATTTGTATCTTTTTTGACTGGGTGTCTCCAAAAAGTATTACATGCACAAAAATATTCATTTTTAATCATAAGTGCTAAAATGCCCTAATTGTAAAATAGCTAAATTCAAATGTGAACATCTTTATCCTTTATAGTTCAGAAAATAAGTCTAACAAGATGAACATAAGAAAGCACACCAAATTAATTAATGTTGACATTAAGGTGAAAAACAAAACACAGACACAGATTAATATATGTAAATGTTGACACAGCACTTTTTTCTTTCTTACTGCTCACTGAAAACTTCGTGCTTCATTCTAAACATTTTATCTGTCTCATATTCATGTTCAACTTGGAACCACTAGTTAGTTTAACACATGT